GGCTGCTGTCCAACTCGTCCCGCCCGTCCCCCGCGGCCCGCCGCGGCTGCTGCGGGCCCCGCCGCCGCCCCGGCCGCGCCGCGTCCGCCGCGGCGGCCCCGACGGCGGCCGCGGCGGCGCGCGCTTCGAAGGCGCCGCCCGCCGACATCGTCTCGTCCGCCTGGGCGCGCGGGGCGCATGGCCGTGGGCACAAAGATAAGACGGCCGCGGCACGTGGGAGGGAATTGGCGCAGCGCAGCCTCGCGAGCATCGACCGCTCCGCTGGCGACCCGGTTCAGAAACGCTGTCTCCGCGGCCTAGTCGACGGCCCGCAGATTTTTCTGTGGCGGTGACGTCCCAGCAGGTGCGGCTGCGTGCGGCGCCACCACACACAGGCCCGGCCAGCGGCCATCCGCCCGTGGGCACGGGTGCATCATACACACAGCATATGCCGCTCTGTCGTCTCGCCGCCGTCCGGCCCCATGATCTGGGTCAGATCGCAGATCACAGATCTGGATCACGTCCCCACCTTGTTGACGACCACGATGCCGTAGCCCCCGTGGTTGCTGATGATGGGCTTGGGGGTCCCTGGAACGTCCGCAGCAGCCCGTGATTGAATGATTACAAGAAAGCGGGCGATTGTGGATGATGAATGAAGACGAGGGGTGCAAAAACAGCCGCCTATGCACGCGGGTGGAGGTGCACGTGGGACCCCCACAACCCTGTGCGAGCGCTTGGCTGGATCCTCCGCGCCGCGGACCAACGTCACGCTTGCCCACTCCCCCCTTCACACCGTCCCGCAGCGCACCCCGCCACACGCGCGCCGCGCGCGTCCCGGGCGGCGGGCGGGCGGGCCGCCGCGCCGCCGCGCGCTGTGGGCCGGGGGCGACTGGACGCTAACCCCTGAACCCTGAACCCTTGGGGGCGCCCACCGTGCGCCACGTTGCCGGGCACCAGCACGAGGCACCAGCCCCCGGCCGTCGCTGCCTGCAAATCCACCACCAGCCGCGCCGGCGGCACGGCAAAGCACCAGCCGGTGTCCCCAGAACTTCCGCTCCCGCCGCTCCCGCCGCCGCTCCCGACGCCGCTCCCGCCGCTGCTCGTGCCGCGGGCGGCGCCCGGGGAGAAGCAGATGGTCTCCGGCAGTCCGAAGTCCGAGGGCTGGTCCGTGTGCACGTCGGCCCAGTAGTCCTGCGGGGGCGCACGACGCAGTCCGGGGTGACGCACGGGTAGACGCATCACAGTCGGCGACGGAAAACGGGCGGGAGGGGGCCGTGGAGGGCAAGGGGGGCGGAAAGTGCGCAGGGCGGTTCGGGTTGGCCGTATCGCGGGTCTCGGCCGCCAGGAGATCGACCGTCGACATCACCAGGACCCTGAACCCTGAGCCCTGAACCCTAAACCCTAAGATCTGGGCCGTGCGAGCAAAGCCTGGAGGGGCAGCTTCCCCTCGCGGGCGCCCGCAGCGCCAGACGCCCGCGCGCCGCGCCCGGCGGATGCCACGGGGTGGGGGGCGGAAGAGGGAGGCCTCCCGGGCTAAGCAAGGGGCTGCGCCCCGCTGGGCACACCGCTGCCTCCGGCCGCCCCTGTTGTGGGGCCACGCGCCTCACCCGTGATACGCCTAGCAGCGCCGCAGGCGCCGCCGCGCGCTCCTCGGGGGTCATGCCCGGCAGGAGGCCCGGCATGCAGTACGCGTCCGTGGCGGCCCGCCTCAGCGCGCCCGCCCGCGGCGCGAGCGACTCCTCTGTGGGAGGGTTTGCAGGTGAGATCCGGAAAGTACGGTTCAGGGGTCGGGGTTTAGGGTTTGGGTTAGCACCGGTGGCGCAGCCCCCGGCCAGCCACGAGTGCCAGTGCTTGCGAGCTGAGCATAAGCCCGTCGCGGCGCCGCACGAGCGATGCTGGGCGCTCTGCGTTCTGCACGAGGGGCCGTCTGGGGGTGCACTTTCCACCCGTGCGTGTTTGGTTGCGGGCGGCCGACCCACCTGCATCAACCAGGGCGCGCGCCGCGCCCAGCACCAGCGCACGCCCCGCGCCGGCCCCCAGGCCCGCGC